GCCCCTGAGATTGGTGGGGCACCCCCCAAAGCAGTGCAGCCACCGTGCCCCCCCAGGACACGCATCGTTCATGCTGTTCTCCAACCGGAGTCGTAGTCATGCGAGAGCGGCCTCCTCCTCGCCTGCAGCCCACCTCGCCCCCACGCAAGGGGCACCCCGGAAAGCGGCCCCTGGGTGTTTCGCCAGGCGCCCCGGCCCCTTGCTGCCTAGGGTGGCCATTCGTCCGGTTTCACAGAGGACGGCCGGTTTTCTGCTACTCTGTCCGATTGACACGAAACCGGGCGCCTTTATGTCCTCTACTTTCCTCCGCAGACTTCCACCAGTCTGACATAAAGGCGTCCGGTTTGGCTCAATCGGACAAAGGATGGAGTAGCAGGAAAGCGGGCTGTCCTCTATAAAACCGGACAAGTGGGCATCCATCGCTCCCACGCGCACCGCAGCACTCGGCCCACTCGAAGCACCTGAGCTGTGTCTCAGCGGGGAGCGTCAGAGCCGTGCGGCAGCCCTGATGCTCCAGACGTGATACAAGAGGCAGCAATTTCCTAGCGCGACGGCTTTTCTGGGACCAGCTGGGCGGTCGGGACATCAGACGCGCTTTCCCATGGAAGAGCTTCTTCCTCAGGTCCCTGAACACAGGACGCTAGGCAGGGCACGTCAAGCCTCTTTAGTCTGTGCTGCCCTGTAAGCACTTGGGACTAGGCTCTGAAACAGACACCTAAGTGGGCAACTCCATATCTAGAGACTTTTTCTGATGCACAAAGGCACCGAACACCTATGGGTTTCAGTGCCAGTTCAATACTATAGCTGCTTATCGGTCCCTTTAACTGTCCACATAGCTTTAAAAATGTGGCTATTGGCGCGTATTTGCTACCAAAGAATTAGTACTGCAGGTCTGTCGTTGAGAGCGCTCTCAGCCTGTAGTACGGGCACAAAGGCGTATGGCAAGTAAGTGCCTTGCACTGGGCAGTCTGCACAGGTGCTGTAGTGTTTACTTTGCCTTCCAGCATGGGTGGTGGGAGGTGGGTAGAGAAACAGAGGGATTGCAAAACTGCATATTAAAAGGTCAGGGAAGGGTGTGCTTTAAAAACAGTTTTATGAGAAGCAGGGAGGGACAGTTAGTATTAAATGCAGCCCTGGGAATATTCCTATCTTGGCTTCTTCTCAGGTTTTTGTTTTGTCTTTTTGTTTTCTTTTGCCTGTGCCAATTGGCAGTGGGGCTGTTAAAATATATATGACTAGCCTGGTGATATCAGCTATCTGATAATATTATTGGTAGAAACTATGCCAGAGTGTTGGAAGACTACAAAGAGCTGACTGAGGACATGCATATTGGTCCCTAAATTGTTTTGCAGGCTGAGCTTTCATTCAAGAGTGTGGGGGGAAGCAAATATGTGTCTAGCTGTTACGGTCACAAAGAAAACCTTCAAAACACAATGTAAGAGTCACCGTTGTAGTGATGACTGCAAGCATGCAGAGAGCCTGATACAATAGCTCTGAGAGGTGCGAACTGCTTCTAGTCTCTCCGTGCCAACTCATGCTGATGAAGGATACTTAACAATGTTGACATATATTTGGCTGCACATGAAACAAGAGAAAGTATGCTATGAAGATGTATATAAGTATGTCCTGAAGTGGCAGTGAGGGCAGGCAGTGGGTACAAAGAAATACTGGCTAAAGTGGGATGCATCATTTAAGATGGCAAAATTGCAGAGCGGTGTGTGATTTGTTTGAGGGACATTAGGCTATGGCCTGTGGCTCTGCAGCTTTCTCTTGTGATGCTGTCAAACATGACAACTGCATGACAACCTGCACCCTCATTACACAAGCATTTAGATGAAGGCACTACAAAGCAGAGCAGCTTCACTAACTTCTTTTAGTCCCTGCCAGGAGCAGGGCTGGGCCGATGCACCAGATCCCTGCCCCCAGTGATGTCTTCAGGAAGGAGGGGAGGAGAAATCAGTTTAGGGCTTGCCCAGCCTGTGCTGGAGGGTGGGGCAGATGGATTGGAGCGCCCTCCCACCTCAAATCCACCCACCCCAACCTCCCTAGCACGTTGGGCAGACTCCACAAAGCTTCCTCCCCTCGCTTCTCCCCACTCCCATCCTGAAGCTAGCACTGGAGCTGGGAGGAAGGGCATGGGACTATAAGAGACAAGCTGCAGACATACAGCCACTCCATACTGGAGCTTGATCCCCGATCCCCTAACCCCTTTGACTCAACAGTGAATGTCTGTTGGGTTGTGGGGGGATCACTGTAACTCACAGCGCTTCCTGTGAAGCACCATGAGTTACAGCAGGGAGCTGTATGTCTGTCAGCACCCCTGGAGTACTGCAAGATGTACTTGTGTTGATTCAATGGAGGGCACTTTTCCCTTCTAGTGTGTACCACATCCTTGCCCCACCATGGTGCTCAAGAGCAACGTTTCACTGAAGATACAACATATTGCAAGACATAACACCTAAGGTCTGGTCTTTAATGGTTACAGCAAAGATGCTAGGGGCTTTTTTCATAAGAGAAGGTATCCTGGTTTCCAGACCAAATACTTTCCATTTACCTACAGTTCCTCTTGGATTTTTATGGGTATAAGATTCTTCATTACTCCTGGTAAAAGCTGTAATAACTGTAACCTGTTAAAGGCTTGTTTTCCACCATGTAGGGAAGTCTAAATTAAGGTCTCCTAGGCCCCTTCTGAAGTTTAAGACCCTTGGGCAGGGGTGTGCAAAATGGGAGATCTGGCCAGTGGCCAGACTCCATTTCCCACCATCCCCTGCCTGCGTCCCTCTAGCCAGTCTCCATGAAGACCTGAGGAGCAGCAGGGCCATGACAGTGCAGGACCAGGGTCTCCATGGAGACCGGCTCAAGCCACACTTGCAGGGCGTGCAGCTGGGCAGGGAGCTGCTCTGGGGCAGGGGCCAGGATTTTGTACTGGTGACAGCGTGGGCTCGAGCCAGAGTATGTGGGCAGCGTGAGCCTGACCCAGAGCATGCGGGCAACGGTTCACAGCTCTGCCCTGACCTTGGCCCACACTGTCTCTGCTGCAAGATCCCAGCCCTAGCCCCAGAGCAGCCCCCTGCCCAGCCGTGCACCCTGCCAGTGTGGCTCGGGCCAGTCTCCATGGAGACCCTGGCCCTGCACTGTCACAGCCCCACCACTCCTGGGGTCTTCATGGAGACTGGCTGGAGTGGCGCAGGCAGGGGCTGCTGGGAAATGGAGTCTGCTGAGGGCCCAATCTGGCCCTCAGGCTGGATTTTGCCTGACCCAGCCCTAGGGCTTTTCTTTTTATCTGTGAGTTAGTTACTTTAGATATGACCTCCATGTTGTTTTTCCAAAGTTTCCATATGCTTTACCAATCACTTTTATGAATAGTTTTGACACAAGATTGCATGGATTTCTACCTTCATTTTTTTCCCTCCTTCACTCTCATCAGTAAAACCTGATTTTTCTGTTTTATATGTAAGCCATCGAAAATAAAGCACAATGTTAACTGTTTCGGTTTCCCCATCTCTCCACTTGTTTCTTTGGCTGTTGTGAAGATAACACCACATTCAGAAAGGCTACTACAATGGAAAGTCAAGTAAACTCCATCAGAATTGTTCAGCTTGCCTGTTTTCTACTGGTTACAATTTAGTATCAGTAGTAGTAGTAATAGTATTTATTTTCTATAGTTGCTCTAAGAGTCAGCTGGCCAATAAATATGCTGCACTTTTCCAAGAAGTAATGGAACCACTAGAGGCATACAGAAAAGCCTAAGGTATTGCCAATTTATGATACCAAATTTAAACCTGCTAGTCTCTGCACAGGGGAAAATGCATGTCAGTAGTGAAAGAGGATCATTTTTTATCCTCTCTCACTACTGCTATTTTTTACTTCAAGTGTTTTGCAATTCTTATGTGAAAGGTGCTTTTAAATATTGCTGGATTGTAACCACCCCAGAATAATACAGCCCTGGAGTCTTATTTACTGCACAGTTACACCACGAATGTAGTCTCAAAAGTTTGCTTGTATGTATAATTGTGTCATATTCTTCATGTCTCAGTGATGTTTGCAAAATTGCTGCTGCTGCTGCTCCCCATCACAATATTTCTTTCATTATGTCCACATTACTTAAAACAAATGGTAAGGCTGCACATGGGAAAGTGGCTTGAGAAAACTGAAGATGAAAGAAAGGTCTTGACTCTATGAACTCTATATCCTGAGATTTCCTGCTGCATTTCCCTTCTTTAGCTGCCTCCCACAATGCTGCATATGGTGACTTAAAGCTGACTGTTGTTTTTTTTAATAAAATGTAAAGTAATTCTGATTTTTTTCCAAAAAAAGAAAAGGAAAAACTCTTTTCTGATCTAATTTTTTTTCCTTTGAGTATTATTTTATTATTCTCTGTGTTCTTGATTTCTGTCATTTGTCTGACAATGTCATGGGTCTTGGTTATGTCAGGGAATACCTGCAGGTTGAAAGACCAAACCAGTGCAAACCCTTGCATCCAGCTCACCCAAATTGGAAAAGACTGGTTTTGTCCCTTGCTAATCAGTTTGTTGTGGGGTATATGGAAGGCTTTTCTTCCCTTTGCAGTCCAAATG